TGTTGTACTATGTTCTTCGAAAATAAACACACTGCAATTACAAAAATGACAATCTGGGTGACGGATGGGTACCTCAGCTAGTATATCTATGTATCTATACCTATTTATGTCTCTATCGATATGTGTGTATATATATATCTATATCTAGGTAGATAGATAGATGTGTGTGTGTGTGTGTGTGTGTGTGTGTGTGTATAAATATATATATCACATATCGATAGAGAGATATCTAGATATATAGATATAGAAAGATAGATATAGGTCTATTGCTAGAGAGATATCAGATAGCATATATATATACACACACACACACACACACACCTATAGAGAGATAAATAGCACAAGCTTTCCAGAGTTCACTTCATCGGATGCTGGGAAAGGATGTGCGACATCTGATGAAATGAGCTTCGGTTTATGAAAGCTTTTCCTATGTATATATGTACTTGGGTTAGTCTCTAAGGTGTAAATCTACCTGCCTTCTACTTGACTTCAGACTAATAAGGCTGACGGTCTCTCTCTGATAAAAGCCAACCATATCCCAGCAGTGGTGTCTCTGGCAAAGCTGGCTACGCATTTTGCATTGAAATGTATGTGTTTTTCTAAACAAAAAAATACTGGGTTTTTTGGGGGTTTTTTTTAAATAGACAAATGTCAAGAGAGTGACTTCGCCCTCATCCTGGCAGAAAAATACTTGGAAATGAAAATACTTTCATTTCTAAAAAATTAGGAATTTGGCCTTTGTTTAAAAGTTTATGCATTTTTCAGGTGGATGTTGTAGTTCTTACTTTCCTTCATAGGGTGAGAAAATGATATAATGTAATAATTAAAATATTCTACTCTGTTTATTTTGTTGTAAAGATCATTAAGGACAGATGCTACCTAGTACTGACTTATCTTCTTTACTAGACTCTCCTTCTTTCAGGTTCAAACAAATTATGATTTAACTTACTTGTATTGCTATGGGATCAGGCAGATGTAGCAGTCACCGTGTAACAGCTGCTGCATGTTTCCTCCCCTTTCAAAAGGCACATTTTGGTCCTGCTTGGAGCAGGGGTTTGGATTAGATGTGACCTCCTGAGGTCCCTTCCAACCCTCAACTTCTATCATTTTATGATTTATCCACAGCCAAAAAGACACCGAAATTTTGACATAGGCAGACAAGGTTTTTTGGGTAGATGTGATATCTTTTTTTAGACCAACTAAATAGTTGGGAAAATTGTTCTTTGCAAGCTTTTGGGTGTAAATAGTTGGAAAAGTTTTGGGTGTAAATAGTTGGAAAAATTGTTCTTTGCAAGCTTTTAGTTGGTCTAATAAAAGATATCAGGTTCACCCAAAGAACCTTGCCTGCCTGTGTCCTTAGACCAACACGGCTACAACCAACATCGCTGAAATTTTGACACGCACTTTTGGACGAGTTCCCTGTTGGTCCGTGCCTTTTGTAGAAGTGCTGAGGTGTGCGGAAGTGTGGTAGGCTTTCTGCTACAGTGAAAGTTCATATTTTCAAGGAGAAACAACATAAAATTCACTGCTATGTTCCCCTTTTTCATCTGCAGTTACCTAAGGACTCCTGCAGGCATGAACACTACAGCATTAGGGAGTGGCAGCCAGGTTCAGAACAGAGGACAGCCAGAGCAGCAGAGTGGCTCTGCTCCCCACGCTAAATTAATTGGGTTGATAAATCTAGGGGACTGGCAAAGATAAGGCTGTACTCTCTCTTTCTTGCCCCACAGCAATTCCTAATGATCCAAATTTGAATGGAAGAGAGTTCAAGAGGGGGCCGAATAAGCCACGCACAAATCATTTCATCCTCAGCTCCGCAGTGGTCTGACACTGCAGCAGTCCCTGCACAGAGGAAGGGGTAAGACACGGCAGGTTTTTCAGAGCTGCTCATCAGGAGGAGGGAAGCCAGATGTTAAGTATCTGAGAGGTAGTTCGCACTATTAACGTGAAGTCAGGGTAGATATGCACCTTCTAGACTGACTCAGCAGGCTATATAGAGAGCATAAGTGAACTTGAGCTCATTTCATCGGACGTTAAATATTTATGTTAAATATCTGCCGAGGGACACAAAGCAAGAGCACTCATGGGTGTCTCTGCCTGCTTTCCTGTCACCGCTCCCAGCGTGCGACCCCAGGTGTTAACAGACAGTGTTTCAGCGCGGCTGGCGTTGGGTCTGCCCTCGGGTGAGGTCTGGGACGTGTGCGCCCCCATTTCCCATGGTGGGAAAGGGTGCACCAACACACTTGGCACTAGCAGTGAAAGCCCAAGTTAAACCCAAATACCCTCTAGAAATCTCCCTCACACACACACACACACACACACACACACACACACAGATCCTGCACACGCACATACACAAAGATCTTACATACACATGCACACATACACACAAAGATCCTGCACATGCACATGCACACACACAAAGATCTTACATACACACACACACACACACACAGTAAGATCCTACACACGCACACACATACACAGAAAGATGCCCCCCGCCCCCCACACATACACAATCATTTTGAATGGTTTCCACAGTCCCTTTCCCCACTATCACATGAAAACAAAACCCCAAATCTGCCCCCAGCTCGACCCACGGCCCACCCGGGTCACAGCAGCAGGTCTCTGCGTGGCTTTCAGCACAAGGATCCAAGATGTATATTTTAAGCCTCTTCAGTCCAGTGTCTCAGGCTGCGCATTGTCACTGCACCCCGACACTTCCTACCAAGACAAACAGCCGGGCAAGCCTGAGCCTGGTGTCCGCGTCAAACAAAGCGGAGCCTCTGGGCTTGCGCAGAGCCCTTGCTGCTTCCTGGGATGCGATGACCTGCTCAACCCCAGAAAGCAGCATCGGACTGGCTTGGGTGGGGAAGGGAATGGCAAAGGGCAATTTCCCATTAACTCAAGCTCCAGCTGGGTGGACTCAGAACCACAAATAAGAACCAGCCCCCACAAAAGTCAGGGCCTCCTAGCTCTCTCTTGCAGGCTCAGCAGGAGAAGAAAGCAATCCCATGCATACAGTAAATGCAGATAGGGTCCATGCGGCCACGGCCTGAGACCACAAGGCAGCTCAGAGCTAACCCTCATGCACTGAACAGATTCCTAGGGTGCAGATACAGGGGCTAGGAAATCAGAGGCTGGCTGTGTGTGTTGGAGACAAGAGGCCAAGGGAAGGAATTGTAAGTGTGTGCACAAAGAGGGACAGTGTTTCTTGGGTCCTGGGCTCTCTGGAGGGGCAGACAGGGAGTTTCTGGGCTGCTGCTTGTGTCTTCTGCCCCTGGCAAGCAGGGCTGCATGATTGTGCATCCTTTTGTTAACGGGCAGAATCGCACCAAAGTTAGACCTGAGTCACTTCAGCTACTTGTCTTTCTCCTGGAAGCAACCCTGCAAGGCTCCACACTTAGCTCAGCCCCCTGGGGCAGCGACTTAACACCAAAGAGAGGCAAATCTGTGTCTGCAAACGTTGCCTTTTGCAGCTTATGCAGACCAGACAAAAAAAGCCTCTGCATAAACGCGGGACATGACGGATGGGTTGGACTGATGCTCTGTCCTGATTAACAGAGGCTCCATGGCGCTGGCTTTGCCCTCACAGCCACTACCTACCATTACCCCTGGAAGTGGGAGCTGATTACCAGTGTCTTTGACATCACAGTGCACGTTATACTTGTCTAGTCAGACACCCCAGGGCAGCTGAGGGCTGAACCTCACTCGCTGCTCTCGGGTTTGGCATGGTGCTAGCTGTGGTCCTGCGTTGCAATGCAACGAGACATCACTGTAATGACAGACAGCCCTGCCACGTTTGGGAAGGGCAGCCTCGGCCAAAGAGCCTGAGGTCAAAGCCACGCTTCGACCCGAGGGCTCTGTGCGGTCCATTAGTAATGCTGTGAGTCCCTCTCTCTCTCTCGCCATGAAAAAGGCTTCAGGAAATACATAGGTCTTTTAATACTCTCCTTCCTATGTAAATATTTTGAAGAATCAGATTAGTTTCAGCTGGAAAGAATAGAGGCCAGATCCACCCACGGATTTGGAAATGCGTGTCTCAGGTCAAGAGTCTCCTTTTGGCTGCTAGTTGCATTTGTTCCCAAAGAAACAGGCTTGTTTTTGAGTAGCAATCGAAGCACCAGTTCACTCTGAAGCCCTGACCTGTCCCCTGGGCACAGCACGCTCCTCTGCAGAGAAGTCCCCTTGGTAGCTGGGACCTCTCCGGGGAAGGGGAGAAGCCAGCACAGGACAGCACCATTCCTTGGAAGAGATGGCGGTGCTGGAGATCAGGCTCTGCCGAAGGCAGGTCCAAGTGCTGCTAACCCCAAATGGCATTACCATCTGAGAGCAGGTGCCAGCAAACACACTTGAGATAGACAGCGTCCATTCCTGGGTCTCACTGTAGTGCCCCCAGCATGGCACAGAGGCTGGGTAGCCGTGTCCCTGGGGGCAGGTTTGTTCTTGCCACGCAATGTGTAACTGCACAAGAGCTGATTGACTGGAGCAGCTGCTGCAATTGGATTCAGAAGGGAAAATCCAAATCATTGCACTGGCTGCAGTTACTGTGAGCTGAAGATGTTTTGCTCGGCCACACCGATTGGAAACCGTACAGGAAGCAACCGCATCCACCTCGGCTTGGCCTGCTGAGGAATTTGCTCTGCTTTCAAGCTTAAAACTTCCCTAATTGAGGGGAAGGAGGATGGAAAGAATTGGTAAAACACTGGGGCTGCGCAAATCCCCACTCTGCTGCACGCTCCCTGGGAGTCTGAAATCACAGGGCTGGGGCAGGGATTTGCTCACCGTGCATGCATACGGCACCAGTGTCCCGATCTCAGCTGGAGGCAGCGTCACAATGTTGCTACTACTACTAATTAAAAAAAATGTCACCAATGAAAGAGAATTAGCTGCTGGCATTTTGCTAAGCGTGAGTTTGCACACACATCCATCTCCACCAAGCAGAGCCTTGCACTCACTGTGTGCAGCTACCACAGCGAGACAAAGCACCGCACAAGTACCTGGATCCAGACCGGCTCCCCCGTGGGCCCGGGGGATGTGAGGTTCTCCCAGTTGCCTGTCCTCTCGTAGGTGAAAGTTGTCCCGGCCACTTTGTAGTCCCCGTTCCACTGGATGGTCCAGCCGCCGTTCAGGAAATATTTCTCAGGATCTTCACTCCTCAAAGCCAGAAAATTCCCGGCTTCTGCCACCTCTTCGATCCTAATCTCACGGGCTCCAGCGGGGATCATCCCGATGTCAACGTAACCTAGGGATTTCATCACATGTCAGTCTCAGGCAGTCAAGGAAACACTGGCAGATAAATCAATTGCTTCTGGTCCAGCTGCTAAAGTAATAACAACCAGGGTGGATTTGAGCTAGTGGCATCAGTACTAAAATGTACTAGAGTCCTGGTGAGATTGCTTGTTCTTTCCAACATGCTGCAAGTTTTATTTTCGTTGAACCAGGCTGGCCTTTTTCTCTGCAGGGATTATAAAATCACAGACAACAAGGACTGGAAGGGAGCTCAGGAGGTCACATCTAGTCCAACCCCTGCTCCAGGCAAGACCAGCCCCGACTCTATCATCCCAGACAAGGCTTGGTCTACCTGGGTCTTCAAAACCTCCAAGGATGGAGACCCCACCACCTCTCTGGGGAAACTGTCCCAGTGCTTTGTGACCCTCCTAGTGAGAGAGTTTTTCTTAATATCTAAACTAGACTTTCCTTTCTGCAACTTGAGCCCATTGCTCCTTGTCCTGTCACCTGCCCGCACTGAGAACAGCCCAGCTCCGTCCTCTTTGCAACCCCCCTGCTGCTATTCCACTATATAAGGGTGGATATTCCACTACAGAAGGAAAAATATCCCTAATGGCCCTTGTCAAATGCATTTAATGTACTTTTGCCTTGTGCCCAATGGAGCTGCCAGCCCTCTTACACCTTTGGTTTAGCGGAAACCCTTGAACCCATAAAAACAGTCCCAGCACTTTAAAAACAAGTCAGGGCCGCAGGAGCAGGGGGTCTCCAGAGAGAGGTTTCCTCGGACCACCCTGAATCAGGAAAGTAACTCCACATCTCTCTGTGCCAGGGGCTGGATCTTGGTCCCATTGAAGCCAATTACAAAGCCACTAATTAATAACTGACTAATCAAGGAGCAAGATTAAAAGGCAAGTTCAAGCTTTCTGTCTCTAGCTAATGAAATGGGTGCCATCAAAGGCACTTTTTCTATAGCTTCCTGAATGCCCCAGCCACAGCCCCTGAGAGCAAGAGCATGGGCACCGATTTATTCGGTCTTTCCCCTGCAGCCCTGACTAACGGCCTTATTAACCAGTGCCTGTTTGTAGCCCAATCCCTGACTGTGCTGCTGCTAAAGGGAAAAACTACATTTGCAGATGGTGGGTATTTATTTTAAGAACATTATTTAAAACTAACCAGCCTAAATCTTCTCCCTTTCATCCTCAAATGGGCAAGATCTTTGCCTTAACCTCAGTCACTGCCTTGCAGCGAAGGGTCCTGGCACTTCAACGAGACGGTCTCGTTGCTTCCCTGCTTAGAAAGGAGGCGCTGTCGTTGTCTGTCTTTTTGCAAAAACCCTCCGCTGAAGGTCTGGTGGTGTCACAGCCTGCGCTGCCTGTGTGAATGCTGCTTACAGAGCCCACAGGACCTCCTTCCCTAAGAAAAACCATCATTCCTCTCTCATCCATGTTTGCTTGATCTTTTGGGTCTCATCCCCCTCTAAACGAGCCCCGTGGCAGGATGACTGCTTTGCCTTCTCATGCAGGCAGCCTTACCCAGCCCCTCGCTCTCCTCGAATGTCTTCTTCACTGTCTGGCAGGTGGACCCATCACCGTGGCACACGCCGCACCGGTCCTCGACGGCGTTGGAGTCGATCTCGTAGTCGCAGCCCACGTTCTGAAACACAAGAGCGCCTGCGGCTCAGACTCAAGACCCAACCTCCTCTTCCAAGGCCCCTGGTTTTTGGCAACAAGAGGCCCATAGTTGTTTTAGCACAAAAACTATATGATAAATGCAAATGGTACTAGTTCTTACAGAGTCAGAAAATGCCCAGCAGCCCAGATGGCCCTAATAATGGAAATGGAAATGCATGGACTAGGATGCTCTCCATGTGCTTGCTTCACTCCCTTTCTGGGCCTGCCTGTGAGCCTTTATCTATATTTGCAATTCTTTCCATTTTCTACACGTTTTGTACAAAAAGGGGGGGATAGGGCCTTGTTTATAAATATCCAGTCTTTCTCTATCCCGCTCTTGCACGGGGAATCAGCTCTGTGGCAGAGAAATGTCGAGCTCTGCTGCACATTCATGCCAGAGACCCGGCTCCCACTGCTCTGCCGATGCAGTTTCTGTGCAATGCGAGAGATCCTGGGCTAATGACGCCCTCCTATTCTGGGTGCTTGAGCCAAATGTGTCGCCTTTCGGTACCGCAGGAATCCATTTGATTCCAGTTCAGGGAAAGCCCTGGACTGGACGCCCAAAGGGGCCCTTCTGTGCTACTAGAGGGGTAGATGCACTTGAGTGCAATAGAGACTCCTCACCCTTTGCACGTGAGGGAAGGAATGGTATTATTTTTTTGCTTTCGCGGGAGCTGTTCTGGAAGTTAGTTTAATGCTGGTGTCAAAGACCAATGTGGTGCCAGCAGCTGGGACATGAAGCAGATAGGACTGTTGCATGCGCTATAACGGGCTGACGGCTCTTGGCAGGCGGTTGTCAGTTCTCACTTCTACTTGAGCGTGTCACCAAATGGTTGTGCCCCTTGTGCGCTCGCGTCAGCCTTCGAATGCTACCCATGAAGCAGACGAGCAGAAAGGGCGCGACTGCCACTGGGCGACTGACTCCAGAACAAGGAACAGGGAACGTTTCCATGAATGTCTTTGACGTACATGGCTGCAAGGAAACTGGCTTATTTCCCCTGCTCCGGATGGAGGGCACGAGCCCAGCTGCCCACACGGGCCCGGGGACGCCGTGTAGCAGTGCCGCTATCCTGCACTTGTCGGCTTCCCCCGCGCGCAACAAAGTGCGGAGCAGGCAGCGCCACGTTTCCTCTGCTGCATTGGGAGCCAGCCTTTCTGGGGGGGGTCTCACCCCCGAGTGTTATCTGGTCCCCTTCCCCTGCCCTGCCTCTGCTCTGCTTTCTATTCCCTGCCCTGTGCTCCTTACCTGATCTGCTGCTCTGCTTTCTGCTCCCTGACCTGTCGGATGCTCTGCTTTTCACTCCCTGCCCTGTACTCCTTATCCAATCTGATGCTCTACTTTCTGCTCCCTGCCCTATCTTCTGCTCTGCCTTCTGTTCCCTGCCATATCCACGGCTCTGCTTTTTACTCTCTGTCCTGCCCCCCCATCTGATTTGCTGCTCTGCTTTCTGTCCCTGACCTATTTGCTGCTCTGCTTTCTGCTCCCTGCCACACCCATGGCTCTGTTTTTACTCCCTGCTCTGCACCCCCCCATCTGATTTGCTTCTCTGCTTTCTGATCCCTGCCCTGTCTACTGCTGTGCTGTCTGCCCCTCCCTGAGCTGCTGTGAGTCACACACACACAGGCTCTGCCCCTGCCACCTGTGGCACACATGCCACGGGCTGCCCCCCTGCTCTGCTGAGTCCCACTTCTCCCTCCGGTCAGCAGCCGTGAAGACTTCAGTGCCTTCAGACCCCCGAGGCCACTCGACGTTCCTGTCGCCGCGCTGCTCCGGGTAGTGCTAGCAAGTAACTCAGCCACCGGCAGGAAGCTGAGCATTTCTCTCCTCCTCCCTGTCCAGGGGAGTTCCCTTTCTATGCATTTCCTCCCACACTGGGGTCGGAGCGGGCGGATGAGCAGGTGGCTCGACCCCATTGCTGGCAGTGCACAGGCTAAAGCATCCACCCTCCACTGTGTGGCTTGCACTAATGCAGCATAAACAACACACGCTCCCTTTCCTGAGCTCGACCGCTCAGCTCAAGCTGGCCCCGAGGCTCCTACCCCCTTGCATCCGGGGTGGGAGATAGAGCCGGGCCGGCCAGAGCTGGAACAGGGTCCCAGCACAGCAGAGCTGTGGCACTGCTCTTCCACCCCAGCACGCCCAGGTCATGAGACTGTAGGCTGAGGAGCAAGAGTGAGCTCACCAGAGGTTTCCCTGTGCTGGGAGGGCAGGACAGCCTGCACCCGGGTGGTCTGCAGGTTCATGCAGCTGGTCGCCATCCAGCCTGGAACGAGGTGCGGCAACGGGGCGGGGGCCGGGGAATGGACTCACCAGGGATCCGCCCCACTGCTTGGGGCTCCTGGAGGCAGACACTCGACCCCATGCAGGTGGGGAGCAGCAAGCGGTGTCTGGGCTGGAGCACGGGGTGGGGGGGTTGCCACGTCCCAGCCCAGGGGAACATGCGCACGGTGCATCTCAAAGTGTCTGCACCTGCAGCTGCTCTGGGGGGTGGCTGGGTCGCAGGCTCCAGGCATTTGTCGAGGGCAGGAGGTGGGAAGGAGCTTAAGCTGAATCATCTATAAGTGCCCTGATCTCGAGAGCAAGAGCGACCCTGTCAATGGCAGCCCATGAACTACCGGTGGCTAAAGCTACGGCTGAGGTTGGTCCATCCGCTGCAAGACCAAGACACCCTGAATGGCTTCCTAGGCCTGCGACTGAGTGCCCATCTGATACCATCGGGATGCTTTCCATTAAATCCAGGGGTGCTGGCCAAGGGCCTGTGTCCGTGGGCCAGAGCAGGACTTAAGAGGCTTTGCTCTGTGAAGACACTTTGCACTTCTGCTAAAATGCAACTGGTATTTACTCTGTCCTGAACCTCGGGATTACAGATCAGGGCACAGGGGTGCTGTGAGAGCAGGACGTAGCCCGATGAAGCCTCATCACCTCTTCACTGAAAACTAAAAAAAAAGCCCTGTGGGGTGTTCAGAGAGGCTTGATCTGTCTCTGCCCAGGTGCATTTTGCTAGGAAGATGTTTTGTGTAGCAGTTATAGTCAGCTCTCCGTCAGCCTGGCCTCCCACTGTGTCTGCCCGTGCTCTTGCTGGACGGGCTGCTCAGTGAATTGCCTCCTGAGGCTGTGCCCTGCCTTCATCGTCATCTCATGGTAGCCTTTGGACCTGGGGAGGTCACATCTAATCCACCCTCCTGCTCCAAGCAGGACCAGCCCCAGCTGCATCATCCCAGCAAAGGCTTTGTCTACCCGGGTCTTCAAATCCTCCAAGGATGGAGACTCCCCCACCTCTCTGGGTAACCTGTTCCAGTGCTTCACCACCCTCCTCATGAGAGAGTTTTTCCTAATATCTAACCTCAACTTCCCTTGCTGAAATGTGCTGAAATATTCCCTGCAACCCCATGTGCTGGATGGGAGTCAAGGACGGGAAGTGTCATTTCTGCACATGGAAGCAATGATGATGTTCATCATTACAATGGTGTTTTGAGGAGAGCAGGCAGAGTCTCCGCTCTCCCTTCACACTCAAGCACATGTACCAGAGAGCACTGCCAAGCACCCCCAGCCCTGGCTTCACCTTTATTTAGGAGATCTCTGATGCAGGCACTTTGCTTAGCTAGGTTCCCATCTATCCCTCAACAACTCTTGTCCGCACCTGGAGGAGAAGCTACAGGCTTCTCTACAGCTAATAGCTCTGCAAGTCTCTGCAGGGTCCCAAAGTCACATTCCCCAAATCCCAAACGTACCTTGCAAATACCATTGATGCAGATGTCCCGGCTGCCGTTCCCATCGTAGCACGGAGTCCCATCAATGACGGCATCACGAAGCTTTTCCGCAAAGTAGTCGTCTTCCGGGCGGCAGTGCAACTCGCACAGATTCACTGGGGGTCCAAGCAGATGCTGAGCAAACCCAACAGACCAAGAGTACCTGTACCCTTGTGTCCACCTCCTCTTTCCCCCCCCAATGAGGCAGGACTTGATCTCTCGGGGCTTCCTATGCTTCCTTGAACATCTCAGTTAAACCTACAGACATGGCTATTGATCTCTGTTTAAAATACCTGAATTGTGATGGCACTGAAAGCTAACCCTAACTGGCACCGAGCATAGACTCTGACCAGGAATAATGAAAACAGTTCATTAATAAAAAAATCCACTTAAAAGAGCCCTCTGGCTCTGGAAGTAATACTACTAATAATAAAAAAAATAAGGCTCAGCAAATGTAAGGTTGACTTACCATTGTGGAGCACGGGTGTCCACTTGTACAGCTTCCCCTTGTACAGCATGGGGTCGAACTGGCTGCACTGGAGCTGGCGGAAAGACGGTTTGTCGGCGGGACACGGCTTGATGTTACAGATGCGAAACCGCTTCCGCTCGCCGAGACAGTATTTCCCGCCGTACTTTGGCCTGCGATCCCGCGGGGGAGAGACAACGGGAAATGAGGGGATGCAGCGCGTGAGGATGGAATTTGCTACCATTTCAGAGTATAAGGGGCCAAGATGAGGCCTCATCTTTTAACGGAGCCCTTTGCGGGGCACTAAGATCCACATAGTTTGCCCCCCCGCTATTTATTCCTATTGCATCACTGTAAATCCGGAATAATGCCCCTGGAAGGAATAGGGTTTCCCCGGTGCAGTGGAGAGCAGAAGTTGGCATGCCGCTGGCATGGAGCCCACCCAGCGCTTGGATCAATGAGGGGTGTTTTGGAGGGACAGATGCAGACCTGAACATGCCCTTGGGACAAGGGCAGGGGGGAAGGGAGGCTGTCTGGAACTAGCTGTTTTGGAGAGGAGACACGGCTGGATTTGAGTTTCTACACCCTGGCAGACTGGGGTCTGGGCTTTGGTTCCAGCCTCTTGCTTGTGTCAATAAATGGGATTTGCCTTCTTCCAACAGACCAAGAAGCAGGGGAGCAGAGGGCACATCTTCCTGCAGCTAACAGACCCCAAGGGGAAGCACTGGGGAGGAAGGCTCTTTGTGCTGTGGCGGGCAGGCACTAACAACGCTGAACTTGTAACCGCGTCCCTCTCTAAAGACACTTGTTTATTCCGGGTCTGAGCCTTGCTGGGGCGCACAGACTTTTGCACTGGGGTCAGTAACGATAGAGCGGGTTCTCCGGTAATAATAAGCCCATGAAAAACCAGCCAATATTTCAGGTTAAATGCGAAGCCAGGAAACAAGGTCTCTGCAAGATGACCGCGCCTGGATACATCATTCATTTCTAGATTAATTACCTTACTGATGAGGTAATCACTACCCTGGCTCAGGGGCCTACTGGGATTAAAACTTGACCTTTGGCTGGCTATTAACACTGCAGATCAAGGATGGCTCTGGCCAAGGGAAGGCTGTCCGGCTGCATTTCTGTGCTGAAAGCCCCAGCTCTCGGGTTGAGAGATGACATCATCCCCCCAAAAAGAGGAAGCATTGTCTGGCCTCTCGGGGAGAGACCTTTGATCACGGGGAATAAATCCTTTGCTCATCTTTCAGCAGATTCTGTTCACAAATCAGCCCACTGATCGCTGGCTTCTAGGCAGAAGTGAGCAGAGCACCAATTAAAAAATAACGAAGCCACAAGTTAGTGCAGGGCTCTTTCTTCTTCCCCACCCCGGTCTGCAACAATAGGAGCCTTCAGAAGCAAATTCCCCCATGAGCCGATCTGCACGGACTGCGAGACAACAGGCTGAGGTGCATGGCTGCGTCCCAGCTGCAGGCGCGAATGGCACGGCCCTTTCTGGCTGAGCCCGGGCGCTGTCTGTAATGCTCCAGAGAAGACTCATCATCCCAGTGCCAGGCAGTTGTGGGACACCCGCTTTCCTACGCTGCTGCCACAGCACGGCAGGGCTTTGGGTCCTGGCACTGGCGGAGCGCCCGCGGGAGGTGACGGCTTCCCTGGGCTTCGCTGTAGAAGAACAAGCGCGAGGAGCAAACATGCAGCTCTGATGGGCAGTCTGGGCTGGGACACGTGAAAGGTGTTGGCTCTGTTTTCCATTGCCCCAAGGGCTGCTCACAACCCAACTTGAGGCTTAGAGCTGCGGTGTTCACAGCCGGGCCCTGCTGTAAACACGACCCCAGAGGCAGTGGTGCCCAGATCATACAATCACACACAAGGAGGGCTAGAAGGGACCTCAGGAGGTCACGTCTAGTCCAACTCCCTGCTCCAAACAGGACCAGCCCCAACTGCATCATCTCAGCCAAGGCTTTGTCTACCTGGGTCTTCAAAACCTCCAAGGATGGAGAGTCCACAACCATTGGGGAGCCTGTTCCAGTGCTTCACCACCCTCCTTGTGAGAGAGTTTTGCCTAATATTCAACCTCAACTTGCCTTGCTGCAGCTTGAGCCCATTGCTCCTTGTCCTGTATCTGCCCCCACTGAGACCAGCCCAGCTCCATCCTCTTTGCAGCCCCCCTGCAGGGAGGTGAAGGCTGCTATTCAATCCTCCTTGGTCTTCTCTTCTGCAGACTCAATCAGCCCAGTTCCCTCAGCCTCTCCTCACCAGTCCTGTCCCCCAGCCCCACAGCTGGACTCTCTCCAATGTGTCCACATCCTTTCTGTAGTAGGGAGCCCACAACTGGACACAGGACTCCAGATGTGGCATCACCAGTGCAGAATAAATCAGAATAATTACCTCCCTCAATCTGCTGGCAACGCTCCTACCAATGCAGCCCAGGATGCCGTTCGCCTTCTTGGCAACCAGGGCACAACGCTGGCTCCTGTTCAGCTTCTTGTCCCCTGTCACCCCCAGTTCCCTCAGCCTCTCCTCACAAGTCATGTCCTCCAGCCCCACAACCATTTCCACTGGACTCTCTCCAATTTGTCCACATCCTTTCTGCAGTGGGGGGCCCACAACTGGACACAGGACTCAGGACTCCAGATGTGTCATCACCGGTGCTGAATAAAGGGGAAGAACCACTTCCCTTGACCTGCTGGCACCGCTCCTACCGATGCAGCCCAGGATGCTGTTAGCCTTCTTGGCACCAAGGGTACACTGCCGGCTCATATGCATCTTAGTGTCCCCTGACCCCCGCAGGTCCTTTTCTGCAGAGTTGCTGCCCAGCCAGTCATCCCCAGCCTGCACCTGCGCACAGGATTGTTCCCTCCTAGGTGCAGGACTTTGCACTTGTCCTTGTTGAACCTCAGGAGATTTCTTTTTGGCCCAATCCTCCAATTTGTCCAGGCCACTTGGTTCTCCTGCGAAGCCTGGGGGAGCTGCACTGCCCCAGGGTCTCCTCCCCAGCCATTGTATGCATGGGGGCTGTGTGCTCTGCACCCCTGCTGACTGCTGCCCCGTGGCAGGGGGCCTGTGATGCAGTGGTAGGGCAGTAGCCCAGGCTCCTCCTTGTCTCCTCACGGGCTTCTTGCTCTGGTGAGCAGGTGACGGGGCAGCAAGTGCCTGCTAGCCCAACTAGCTGTGCAGGGAAGAGCAGACTTGTCCCCTGCCTGCCCCAGGCAAGCACTCTCCATCTGGGCCATAATGCCCGGTCTGAAGTCCGTGCCCCCTTCCCCTGGACCCAACGGGGTCTGCAGGCTCATACCTGGAGGCAGCCATGACTTCTGATCTGTGTCGGCCTACAAAGCAAACTTGCAGAGCTGGGGACCGAGCCCACGTGAGCTACCTGAACCCCAACCTGTGCTCCACATATATCAGAGAGGAGTCTGTAGGTGCCACATTGCCACTGAGGGCAGTGAGGAAGGACGACAGTCCCCACCCAAATGCCAGCGTGGTCCATGCAGACTCCCGCAGGTGCATGTGGCCCTGAGCTAAGATGCAGGGTCTGTCCTGTTCCTGGCACACCGCTCGAACCACGTGACAACAGCATTGTCTTTTAAACAAAGCCCCACGGTATTTTATTTTCCAGATACTATTTTTTCGGAATGATAAAATGACAAAGGGGCATGTCAGCCTCTAAAAAGGGTCAGAAGCAGACGATTTGAATCTAATTAGGTTTTGGGGGAATACGTGGCAATGGATATTGGAATTAAGGGGGCACTAAGAAGTCTTTATTTAAAAAAAATAAATTTACAAATAGAAGTGATAGAAGCTGCAATGTCTAATGGACTGTCATCAAGGATTCTGCCTGGTTATATCTTTTACATTTCCCTTTCCTTTAGAGGATGAAAACTCCCTCATCCGCTCGGTGGCTGTCCCTAACCAGCTCTCCTTTCCTGTTCTCAGACCGTAGCAACCCCATTGCAAGGTCTGGACTGCGCATCACTGCAGAGGAGGTTAAAAATAAAATACGATCAAATGAAAACCTCCCACCCATGGCGCGGGTGAAATGCTAGAGGCACGGGGTAACAAACCACTTCTACGCATTCTTGATAAGGCTTTCGAAAACTTAAGGAAAATCAGGGTTACTACTGAACTCCCTGCATCTTGACAGCGCCGTGTCGGTGCTGCCAACACAACCACTTCTGTGACTTGGTTTATGATACTTTAAAAACAGTTATTAAAGTGAAGCATCGATGATAAGCCTTGAAGTCTGAAGCCTTTCTCCTCCCTGCGATTGCACTCCAGAATCATTATCTATTTGAGACCCTCTCCACACCTACATGCACAGAGAGGCTCTTCCTCATTGCTGTCAATAGCTGACAATATTTTTTACAAGATAACACAGGCAGTTATATTGCACTGAGCCATCTGCTATACCGTCCTTGCAGTTAGGGACTGGTGAGAGTGCTTTGGCTAACAGCGGAGATAACTGACCATAAGCGTACCTGAAACTGGCCCGAATGAGAGCATTTTAACAGAGGTTTCTTCTCCTTTTAAACCCACTTATGCATAAAAGACACGGGCCTGGATCCTGTTCTCTCATCGTGCAGGAATAACTATGGAGCAGCTCCCTGCTCGTAGCAAAGCTCTCGCTGGCGTGGCCCCAGGGGAGATCAAACCGTGGCCCAGACCAGGTCCAGGTTGAAAGGTTCAGCTTTCCCCAGGCCAGGTCTCTAGCCCTGGGTCTTTCCCTCCTCCAATTCACATCCATGGCAAAACTGCTGTGGCTGAGCCCCTCCTGCTCCACGTTTTGTGCAAATAGCGTCCACAGCTTCACCTCCCTGAGCCTAACGTCCTGTGCCAGGCAATCGAGGCACACGGGGCAACGCTTACTCCCTCCACAATCACACTTCGTTACAGGAGCTGTTTAATTAAGCACGCTCCTTTTGTTCTCCTACGGAGCCATTTCTTACAGCAGAAGAGTCAACGTCCCATATTTCCTATAAACACATTTCTTCACAACTACACTTCATGGTGCGTGTGACTATTATGAACACAGTGTTTGTAGCAAGAGAGATTTCTACCGGCCAGAGTACTTTTTCCTCTACAACAGTTGGTTATAGTTAGATCTCCATTTGTCTCCATGATTTTTCCACAAATATGGAAGTCTCCGTCTCTTCCATACCTCTGTGGTTTA